AACGCCGCGTGACGAACCCCGCGCCCTCCGCACAGGCTCCCGTGGCGCGGAGCCGTCGTTGAGAACGACACGCAAGCGAGGGGGCAGCACCGGCGCCCGAGCCGGGAGAGACGCACGGCGAAGGATGACGGCCTCCTCCTCGCACCGAAATTGCGAAAGTTGATAAATGTACAGCTTTGAATCGACACACAGCGCGTGAAATATTGTGCGTATACATCGATTCGAAACTGTTCATTTGTAAACCTCGAAGCTTTCAAGGCAGCCCGGTGAAAAAGTGCAACCGTCTCCTATAACGCAATCTCTGCGCCATCTCTCTGCTTTGAAGAAGTCCCACTTCTCGGAGAGTTTGACTTTTTCATAGGCTTACATATGTGTGTGTGTGTATTTCTACACGCAAGTGTTAGTGAGAAACAGCAATCATTCTTATTATTTGGAATTTTAAGTAAAGTAAAAGTACACCCACGCATCAGAGCTGAATGACAGATAACCGTGCACACATCTCCAATGCAATAACACCCATGGCCGTGAAGCTCTTGAACAAAAAGAATATCGTGGGCACCTGCACAAAAATGGAATGAAAAATCATGGGAACCTCTTTGTGGGGAAGTTGACAGTGGTTGTCGGGCAGATAAACTCTGCCCCGCCCTGTTAATGTGGAATTTCCAGCATTGGCTCAGGGCCGTACGCATCAAGTGAACAGGATGTCAGAAGTATTTTTAACTTATTTTGCGATACCTTTGACGATACTCAGGCTGCTACCGAGACATGTGTCTCTACAAACTGCGAGGCAGACAGGGGCATTCTCCCATCGTATGTACGTACGTAGAACATCTTTCGTAGCGTACGTTGCCAACATAGGGCGCGATGCAGCGACCGTCTTTGTTCGTCAGTTAAAATCAGCCGGGTTAGAGCGGTCCGCAACCAAATGCAGCGGAAACAACAACAAAAAACTTCCCTTCGCCAATCTCAGACGATGGGGGAAAAAACGCGCACGAACACTCGGACACTCGGACACGCGGATAGGCAAACACGCACGCCTTCCAGCCGCGAAGACTGGCACTCCGACACGTGCACACGCGCTCTGGAGAACGCACGGAATTATTTTGGTCTTGTCTCACGACAATGTCGGGGGTCATTTTCCTGACAACGGCGAAACATTCGTAGTACGATTCACAACTGGTTCTTTGGCTTAAGCCGCAAAATGATCTGGACAAAATTCTGCCCTGAGAACCCTCCACCGCCCCACACAGCCAAACAAATCACGGTGTCTCGTGTGTAATTGCCTGACGATGCGCCAATAATTGAAAATGTAACATTTTGCCTAATTTCAGGCGGGTGATTTCATTGGCTGCAGAGGAAGAAGCTGTGGATGTGTGCTCTTTGTAAATAGTGATTGGTAAGTATGAGCAAATACTTATTGCTAAATAGATATTTATTGATAAATATCTATTGCAAAACAACTCATGTCCACTGCTGTGCTGGAACTTACTTCTCTCACCTCATGACACGTTCAACTTCATGACTGTCGATAAAAAATTCTGCTTGCAAATTTCGTTTTGCGATTACTGTGTTTTGTCGAGCATATATAAATACATTTATATATCTGCCAAATGAAATGTGTTCTTTCAAGTCTGGATCATTGCCGAGGAGTAACCTATCGTGTGAATGCACGGAGCTTTCCCTGACACCAACCAGGCTGCCAGCCAGCCCTGGCCAGCAGGCCTCCCTTGACACAAGTACACTACCATGGCATTCACGTTGGCTTCTCTCTCGCGTGTGTGTGCGTGCATGCGTGTGCGTGTGTGTGCGCGTGTTTGCGCGTGTGTGCGCGTGTGTGTGCGTGTGTGCGCGTGTATGCGCATGTGTGCGCGTTCCCGGTACGCTGCGAAGAGCGGTCGCGCAGCGGTTAGCGCGCCGCGCCATGAACCCAGCGACCCAAGATCAATTCCCCATCAAGGCCAACGCCGGTGATGATTATCTGCACCAGTCCATGGTCTCCCCGAGGTCGACTCCGTCTCAAATGAGTACCTGGTGCGAAGTGTAAACGTCACCACTTGGGAGACAGGAGGCAGCCGGGCGTGATGCTCATCCTCCCCTCGTGCGCCACGCCGGCCAGAAATGCTCGCTAACTGCACTTGCCTCTACAGCCTGTTCAGGATATAGGGGGAATATCTCTCTGCCTTTGTATGTCTGGTGTATTGTTTTAGCCTGAGCAATGGCTGAGTCAACAGAACACATTCACACATTTGTTGCTTATGCTTAAACGAGCACGAGTCGAATGCATGTATGTACATGGAACTTCTTCCGCACCGTACGTAGCCAACCATGCTAAGTGGAGTTGCAGGGGGAAAGACAACAACATAAACACAAACAGCAGTTCTAAAGAAATGAATTTCAAATTAGATTTGAAAGTGCATAGCTCCAGTGCATAGCTCCAGTGCATAGCTCCAAGTGGCTTCCTAATATCGGAAGACCGTTCCAGAGGGCCGCAGAAGCGCACCTGAAAGTGCGTGATGCGGTGACCGTCTTTGTTCGATGGTTAGCATAAAAACCGCCGCGAGGATGAACCGAGTTTGCGTGATGGTTTATTCTCCTTGACGAGATCAGCACGGTATTGTGGTTTATTTTTGGTAAGCACTTCGTGTGTAATGAGTATGACCTCATAATGTATTTCTTCAATTCATTATGAGGATCGGTTGTGTTGAACCGATGTGTTGCTTGTGTTGAACCAATGCTGCTGAAATTATGCACTCCCAGAAGGCCCTGTGGCTGACAGGAAGCGTAAAAAATACTTCAATTTTGTATTTGGAGGCACAAAAACGTGGAGGAGACGCACAGTCGGCTTATTCATCTCGTTACTTATATTCTCCACAACAACGCTCCACAGTGATCCTTTTGAGGTCTCAGGTTCACGGCGCTAGGTGCAGTGAATTCCCCACGTGGCGAGCAGCCAGAACACGGAGGGAAGTTTGCTCGGCTACATTCACCTAACGTCTAGATTCATCGCTACGGAGGGGATTCGTGCGACTAGCACAAGGCATGACCTCTTGGACTCGCAAGCTCATGCCACCAGCTTCAACGTATTTACATCGTTGGTTAAATCCCAGACTCACAAGCTCACGACCTCCTGTTATACCAGGAGAGCTGGTTAACAAAGTCAGTGTCGGTCCTGGAGACATTACAGCGATAACACTCCGCTTCTGCTGACGTGGTCGTCTGCTGGTTTAACCATCTGAAAGATAAATTGTAGTTGTCGCTCTGCATCATCGGCATCAGCCGTGCGGAAGTGTCTCTTCTAAAGAGATGGCAGCGCGAGTGACAACCACACGAATGTGCAGCGCGCCAGCCCACGAGAGCTGGCGGCAGGCACGCGTGGCATTTCACCTCATCGGCTGCTCGGTCCGTCTGGGGCCGCATGCCTCGCTCAGTGTGGCTCGGTGTGGCTCGGTGTGGCTGGGTATGGGCCGGCCTGGCACGGCTGAGGTCGCCCCACGTGTGTGTAACCGGCTCACCCTATCCCTCTCCTCCCGGTGATTGTAACGAGGGGACAGACTCTACCACCGAGGGACACCAAAGGGTTGTGGAATGGCAACTCTTCAGTTCAAAGTGTTCTACTGAGGAGCATTCGTGCATCTGTAATTAATACCAGACGCACACCAATCGACCCCACGTTACAACAACCCCTCACTCCTCAATCGCTGTACAGCGTCCATCTGAATAGTTGCCCTGTACCCTGAATTACTTACGCCACTGCTGGGCGTGGCCTACTGCGTGGTCACGTGAGTCTATGGGTACAATCCATGATCATCATTCACTCCATTGATAATTGAACCTTATGGCGGTACCCCCGGGGTACCTTAGTACTCCGGCTCTCGCACAATGTCCGTGATGCAGTCACTGTTAGTCTGCTCATGGTCGGTGATGCAGCAATCGACTCATCTCGACGAGCTGTACACGATGCACCACTACGGTGCGTACCGCGAGCGTTCAGGGTTTCAGCGCAATCGTCCTCGCTGCGTTTAGACATCGCAGAGTAGCACTGGTTTTGGGTTGATTGGTACCCAAGTCGCGGAGTTAAGTACACCCCTGGAAAAAATAGTGTCCTAGAAATAAAGTATTTAATTGCCTCGGCCATTTTGTATTATTTGCTATCCCGGGGTACAGCCATAAGGATCAATGATACACGTGATTCATTATATTAGGCCCACACCGCCAGCTACAACGTGCCTTGCACTGAGAGACGCTTGGCACGGCAAGCGTTCTCTGGGTGCGCCACGTGTCTGGCTACGTAACGTTTCTGGGAAATGTTACTCGGCCACAGATGCCCTTTGCAGTGTATAAAATCATTAATAGATTAATTTGCTTTCCTTCCCTGTAAACCACAATTTGAAAAGCTGGTGAAACCCCCGATGCAATAAAATGTGAGGTTACAGCAGATCAACAAGATCCCAATGATAGCAAGACATGTAATATTGCAACATTACGCAGCCAATTCAATATTTCCCACCATTAAATGCCAACACCACCTGCACGAGGCAGAGTGGCGGTGCAGCGGTGAGCGCACTTCGCTGTGAAACGACAACGCCGTGAGTTCGACTCTTGGCCCGTGGCGAGTGATATCTGTCCCAGACCTGGGACCCCCTCTACAAATACACACGGAGCAGAACGGTGAAGTATGGTCAAAACAGCCACCACAACCAACACAGTGTGGGAAGGCTTTCAGCCAAAAGTGTATTGACAAAGGGCCCTAAATTCAGATGCTTAGTTGTTATAATAATTATACCTGGACATTTATTTAGAGAAATCTGCATTCTCCCCCAGTACGGTGAAGCAACTGATTTCTTGATTACTCGGCCTTTTAAGAAGCGGTCACATAATTGAGTTACTTGAGCGCCTCCCCTGGGAGGGATGCGCGTGCATTATTTACAACCGCCACCCCCGAATGCTTTCCTTCTCGGCTGCATCGGCAGGCTCCAGCAGGCTCCAGCTCACTCTCTTACCCTCTCGGCTCTGCCACTCCGTTACCCGTGCCCCTTTTCCCTGCCGCACGTGAGCGTCCAGCAACTTGCGTCCAGCAACTGGCATCCAGCCAAGCGCACAAGCTCACGGGGAAGGGGGGGGGCGCTGCGAGCTCATCGGCCGATTGCTCGCTCGAGTCCTGCAGGGCAAGGGCACAGAGAACGGTATTAATTAGGCCAGGGGGTTTCACGAGATCACGTGCCTACAGAGGGCGGCCAGCGATCAGGTCCCAAAGAAGGAAGCGTACGCGACCCCCCCCCCCCCCCGAGGCACATCACGTCAAACGGCCCAGAAACAATCAGCACCGTTGAAGCTGAAATAGAGAAGGGTTGACGCTCTTCTTGAGTTAGGTACGGTTATTGTAAGGGCACCACGGTGGCGAGGTATTAACTGCCTCGCCTGGTATACAGGTTGCGGGTTTCCTCTCGACCCCTAATGCCTGTATATTTGGAGTTTGCATGTTCTCCCTGTGGTCGCGCGGATTTTTCCTGGGTCCTGAGCAGGCCTTACCTGGTTACACCGTTTTTATAACAACTTGGAAAGAAATGATTGGTTATTAATACTAATAATATCCGTGTGTTTTTCATACAGTGCCCACCTATACGCCGGAGTGCATTACATCACACAATATCTAAACACATTTGAATGGGCACACCCAGTGGCAGCTGTCCCTGTGGGTACGAGGTGACTCAGTAACCGGCTTGCAACAAGGGGCGATCGCGTTACCGCTGGACCGTGCGAGTGACAGATTTAACGTGCATGTGTACGTAGCATGACGTATGTACTGTGTGCTGTGTGTGTTATGTGTGTGGGTGTGATGTGTGTGGGTGTGTGTGATGTGTGTGTGATGTGTGTGTGTGTGATGTGTGTGTGATGTGTGTGGGTGTGTGTGTGATGTGTGGGTGTGATGTGTGTGCTGTGTGTGGGTGTGTGTGCTGTGTGTGGGTGTGTGTCCTTTGGCCTTGCAGAGGATAAGTTCCATATCAAGGGATTATCCAGCTGAAATATTTTAAATATATGTTTAATAATTTGTATATCTCTGTTGCACAATGATATATAATTCATTTTTGTGTTAGCCCATGCAACGACCAAGCCACAATTTTGTCATGAATCCCTCCACAACCCGACACTGCAAAACAACGTAGCCCAACGCAAAAAAAAACCCAGTTATGTATTACAGCATTGAAAACTGTGTGCGCTAGGAATTCAAGATGGTTATACAATCGTCACCGAGCACAACAGTTATCGTGGTCATAAATATATACGGGAGCACTCTGTGCCACTCGGCCCTGTTTTTCTGTTCAGTGACAAGAGAGCAACTTAAAAGGGAATACCACGCACGGCTGTGGAGTGCGCACGGAAAGTACTCGTCCACAACACGGCAGTGGCCGGGAGAGAGGGAAAAGAGGGGGAGAGAGCGGGGGAGAGAGCGGGGGAGCGAGGGGGGAGCAAGAGGGCAAGAGGCGGGGAATGGGAGGGCGGCGAGGGGGAAAAGAGGGGGGGAGCGAGGGGGGAGAGAGGGGGGGGTTCAAAGTCGTCTTCGTGGCTGCATTGATTAGCGACGGCGTGGACATGACAGGAAATCTTTTATAAAAGGAAGCTGTGATATAAATCTATTCGGAATAAAACACCACTTGCCCTGCACTACCTCCACAGTCAATAAATAAGACATCAAAAAAAGGAAATGCATCTTACTGAAATACTAATTGACAAAAAGAGTATTCTCTTGCATCAACTGAAAGTTACACAAGGAGACGACGCACTGGGCTGACACGACGACTTCGCGAGACGGAGACGCGGCCACAGCCCCCCACCTCATCACCCCCCCAACCCCCCCACCACCACTCCCACCTCACCACCCCCGCCCCACCTCACCACCCCCGCCCCACCTCACCACCCCCACATCACCTCATCACCCCCGCCCCACCTCATCACCCCCGCCCCACCTCACCACCCCCACATCACCTCATCACCCCCCCAACCCCCCCACCACCACTCCCACCTCACCACCCCCGCCCCACCTCACCACCCCCACATCACCTCATCACCCCCCCAACCCCCCCACCACCACTCCCACCTCACCACTCCCCCCCACCTCACCACCCCCACATCACCTCATCACCCCCACATCACCTCATCACCCCCCCAACCCCCCCACCACCACTCCCACCTCACCACCCCCGCCCCACCTCACCACCCCCACATCACCTCATCACCCCCGCCCCACATCACCACCCCCACCCCACCTCACCACCACCTCATCACCTGATCACCCCCCCCAACCCCACCTCACCACCAACCCCACCTCACCACCTCACCACCCCCCCCCCCCACCTCACCACCTCACCACCCCCCCCAACCCCACCTCACTACCTCCACCTCACCACCCCCCCCACCTCACCCCCCCCCCCACCTCACCACCTCACCACCCCACCACCCCCCCAACCCCACCTCACTACCTCCACCTCACCACCCCCCCCAACCCCACCTCACCACCTCACCACCCCCCCCCCCCACCTCGCCACCTCCACCTCACCACCTCATCACCCCCCCCCAACCCCACCTCACCACCAACCCCACCTCACCACCAACCCCAACTCACCACCCCCCACCTCACCACCTCACCACCTCACCACCCCCCCCCCCCACCTCGCCACCTCCACCTCACCACCTCATCACCCCCCCCCAACCCCACCTCACCACCAACCCCACCTCACCACCAACCCCAACTCACCACCCCCCACCTCACCACCTCACCACCTCACCACCCCCCCCCCCACCTCGCTACCTCCACCTCACCACCTCATCACCCCCCCCCCAACCCCACCTCACCACCAACCCCACCTCACCACCAACCCCAACTCACCACCCCCCACCTCACCACCTCACCACCTCACCACCCCCCCCCCCCCACCTCGCTACCTCCACCTCACCACCTCATCACCCCCCCCCCAACCCCACCTCACCACCAACCCCACCTCACCACCAACCCCAACTCACCACCCCCCACCTCACCACCTCACCACCTCCACCTCACCACCCCCCACCTCACCACCCCCCTGCTGCAGCAGGAGCTGCACAGCAGCCGCCGAGTAAAGCAGCGCGATGCTGCACATTGCGCCAATACGATACAGCTGTCGTGGCTGTGACGGTTCCACCTGAAGACGGAGGCTTGTGTTGCTTCCGAAACGTCGTGATTTTTTATTTTATTTTGTTTAATTTAACTTTTATTAATTAAAAAAATTTACCTACGTGACTTTACCGAAAAAACCTAAAAATACGATAGTTGTCGTGATTGTTGTCATCATCGTTATTGTTGTTGCCATTGTTGTTATCGCACAAGTCGATGTTCGTCCCTAAAGAGACTCCCCACCACCACCGCCGCTTCTCCTCTTGCCGCTCGCCACCCGGAGCAGCGAGCCGCCACGTCACGGCCGGCCCCCCAACGCGCCGGCCCTCCAGCCCGTCGGCCCTCTGCACTGCCCACACGACCAGCGCTACTCTCTTGCCGCTGCAAGGACCATTGAATGACAATGCGAGTTGATGAACGATTTTTATTACCACCACTCCCACACTTTATTTGACAGTTCTCTCTCGACTCTCTTCAGGAAGAAAGCTGCCAAGTTTTCGCATTCGGCCACGGTGCCGATAACGTGTCACCCAATTGAGTGATTTTCAGGTAATTCTCAGCATTATTTTGCTTCTTCTGCGAATACGAGTGAGCTTGTCAGCCTCTTAGCCACGGGAGGGAGAAACCCATGCAGAGCACGAGGGAGGACAAACAAGCCCCGCAGCACAGAAAGGGCCAGAAAGGGCCCGCCCCGAGTCGGGAATGGAACTCCCGAGTGTGACCACTGCGCCACGCTGCCGCCCGGCGTGCTTACTTCGGACGGAGCACATCAGCGTCTCAAGGCCCCTTCGTCAACACCGACCTTGCCAACACCCTCGCCTGCCTGCTGCTACAGTCGGGGTCTCGCCACGACCGCTGTAATGCCAATCTCGCCGAGTCATCATCAAGCAACATCCTCAAATTGCAAGGGCTACAGAACAACCTTGCTCCTGTCGTTCTCGGCCCCGACGTCTACAGCTCGACTCGGCCACCGCTCTCCGTACTCTTCGTTGGCTCCCTTTCGCCAGCAGGACAAATATACACAATTGCGGCTGCCTTTGTCATCGCATCTTTGACCACCGGTTCCCCAGCACCACACCTCGCCTCGCTACTCTCTATCCTTGCTTTCTATCTACGTGACTTTAGCGAAAGAACCAAAGAACATAGAAACCCTTGCACTGAAGCTCATGGTAGAACCCTGCGCAGCAGCAGGAGCAGTGTCACTCAAAATCTGCCATGGACACCAAAAAGGTCTCGAACTGTTACAGCCGCACGTCACTATACACTATACTAGACTATACACTACACTACTATACACTATACTACACTATACTACACTACACACTACACTACTACACACTACACGACTATACTCTACACTACACACTACACGACTATACACTACACTATACACTATACTAGACTATACACTACACTACTATACACTACACTATACTACACTATACACTACACTACTATACACTACACTATACTACACTATACACTACACTATACACTACACTATACTACACACTACACTACACGACTATACACTACACTACACACTACACGACTATACACTACACTACACGACTATACACTACACTATACACTACACTACACGACTATACACTACACTATACACTACACGACTATACACTACACTATACACTACACGACTATACACTACACTACACGACTATACACTACACTATACACTACACTACACGACTATACACTACACTATACACTACACGACTATACACTACACTACACACTACACTACACGACTATACACTACACTATACACTACACTACTATACACTACACACTACACGACTATACACTACACACTACACTATACTCTACACGACTATACACTATACGACTATACACTACACACTACACTATACGACTATACACTACACGACTATACACTATACTATACACTACACTATACACTACACAACTATACACTACATACTACACTATACACTAAACTGTGGAACTCTATCCCTTTGCACACCCGC